TGCCGTCTTGTGTTTACATTTCGAGTTATATTCATCATTGCAACTGCGTGAAAATTTAAACTGTATAAGTCGCCATTCAATGCGATGCATTTTTTTAGCCTTTGACAGTTTTGTCAAAGTTGGGTTATCTTCAACAACTTTATATTGAATTTTTCTTTACAATATAGTGAATATACGGCAATAAAAAATAATTTCATTCATTTCATTTGTTTCAAGTACTTTATGTGCATGAATAAATATTGAAACTCTAACACTGGCAGCTGCTCATAAATATTACTGTTCCTTTTTAGTAAAAAATGTGTTCATGCAAAGATGTGTGTTAATGTATATAGCTAAATTATTATTTTAAAAAAGCACGTCATAACACATATATTGATAAAAATAATACTCGTTTTATTTGACTAGAAATACATGAAATGCAGCACCCCTCGCCATTTTCAACCATAAAAATAATATCCTGGGCCTAGATTAGCTATAACTATAAGTTTATATTATGGAATGACTCAACGGCAAAACGTCGATAGCCAATGTAGCCATTTCGTACAAAATATAGTCCTAACATTGAAGATGTCGCTCGTTTTTTAAAGGCGTTTATAGACCCTACCAGCTTAGTAAACTGTTAAAATTTCAACATTTGAGACTTCAGAAAAAAACATCAAAACAGTAAAAAATCTTCAAGTACATGCAGACATAGGCATCCCAGACTTTGACTGCGCGTGTGATACTTGCGCGCGTGCTGACTTTGTTTACATCGTCTATGCATAACGACAAGGTATAATTATAGGAAAGAGTTTATTAAAACATTACAGTTATAATTTCGTAAATGTATAATAATCGGCAAAATTACCTGAAGAAATGCCACAAAATCTACAGCCTAATAATAACCGATGTTTGCACAACATTAGCCTGAAGTTTCGACGTTTTCAAACAACATCAAAAGACATCAAATTAGCGAAATAAAACAGGAATTCATACGAAATTTTGAGGAAACTATCCGCCTAAGGAAACGTCGTGTTTTTTAAAATATTAGCTAAACGGTTATCGGCGGTCGTGTGGGTAAGCCATTGACCGATGCCGGTCTAGTCCAGCATGGATTAGGTGCATGGAGAAGATATACCAAGGTCTGGGTTAGTAGTCGACTTCCCTGACACAGCTAATTGTTTAACTTCAATTTGCTCACTAATCTCTCATTTCTGAAAGCAAGGAATTAAGTAGCCTGCGAATCACAGAATCTATTTATACGCTTATTCCACGGTGGGGGGAAACGCAATAAATAGATCTGAGAATCTATAGATCTGATAAATAGATCTGGGTATCGAGTGGGAATAAATTTTAACGTTAAAAATGACTTACCACAACTGTGTTTTAAGATATATTGGAAATTATTTCAGGACTTTGAACAGTTGGTTTGCCTAGAACAGCAGCAAAATACTGATATGCATTCTAGCAAATAAACTATTCTTATTCTTATTATAAACACTCAACAGCAAATAAATTATTTAAGTGCAAGCTCCATAATAAATATCAACGTCTCATATTTGGCAGTTTATGAACAGTCGTATAGCGCCGAGCATGAAGTATTCGCTAAAGCAAAGTTCTCAAGCGGATCGTTTTTACGGTTTATAAATCAACGAGGATACGCTCTATTATACTAAAATGCATAATCCACCTTTCCTTAGATCACTCTGAAAAATTCAAAGAAAAATTCATCATAATATTATATCTCAACTGTAAATCATCCAATCAGAAAGCTCGATTTGTACCACGTGATCAGTAAATTAATCATGGAAATCCATTGAATTTTTTCACATTATGCTATAAAAGTCGAATACCCCACTGCAGCGGGTATTCGAGTTTGCGTGTACCACGCGTGGATGCCTCGCACACGACTCGAGGTTGTCAACAATTTCAAAATGGAGGCAAAAGAAGCCATTTCGCCCAGCTTTTGCGCTGCCTACCCGTTGTTTCGATATAATATATAATTTTTAGACCTCGGGCGAAGCCCTCGGGATATATCTTCCCTTGGGGGTAATATTTTGTCGAATTCCCCTTCCTCCAGGTCTATAAATGATAAGAATAGCAACAATGAATAGTTTAACCTTAGAAACGTCATAGTTTTGCCCGAAAAACGTGAACATATCAAGCGTGAAAAAACGCTTTCGAATCTCGCCGTGTGCAAATCAATCGAGTTTGTAGTAATCTTGCATTCAGTTTTCGATAATAAATGTTTGGTTTTGAGTTAATTAAAAAGCGCAAAAAGTAATTAAATAAAACTAACTAGTTATATAAGTTATTTCATGTTAGAAAGTGCTTGCCGCTTTATTTTAACATCGACTTGAGATTAATTAACTTACGCCAATAATATTTTGTTGTCTTTCCTCAAAAAGTTGATTAATTCCTGCCTGCTTCAAGGCACTTTTATACGATGTGTGATAACCAAAAATAATCTTCATTGCACGTTTTTGGATGTGCTCCAAGGCGTTGTTTAAGTAGGCATACGCAGGAAGGGTGTAATAGAAAAGTTGACACGCGTAGAGGAGGACTGATCGAATACACGCTGTATAAAACCTGATCGGGTCATTTTTGCACGAGACACTTTTGCACGCTTCAAATGTGATAAAAAGTAAATCTCTCGGACGCTTTCTTAATAGTGTTTTCGATATGGGTATTCCATTTCAAGTCTTGTAATGTCACTCCTAGGAGCTTGAAAAAAGTCAGTGACCAATTCAATGGGGTTTGTTTTTATATGCAAGTCCTCAAAAAGGGTAGTGGTTTTTGAAAAGGAAATAGTTATTTCTTTGCATTTTTTAACATTTAATTCGAATTTGTTACTTTGTGACCACTCTTCTACTTCATCTACTAACAACTGGCTGAACTTGGTGAGCTCTTTTGAATAATGTCATAACTAGTAGTGTCGTTTACATATTTGACCACTTCGTTTGATGACTTAATCTTGCAGTCCGCGATCATAACTATAAATAACAAGGGACCCAGTTTGGTCCCTTAGGGAACATCTACTGGTACCGATTTCCATTCCAAGAAACAATCGTTGGCTACATTAACGCTTTGTTGTCTATTGCTCAAAAAGTCGCAGATCCAGTTCACGATATGGGGATTGATTCCATAATTTGATAGTTTGGATATTAAGATATTATGGTCTCTTAAGTCAAAGGCTTTCCTGAAATCTAGGAAAAGAACTCGTACTTTAGCTTAATTGTCGACGGTGGTTTTAGTCCAGCTGTGACAAAATTTATAAGAGCGTGAGTGGTAGAGGAATCAGGGATACAACGGTACAGGTCTTGTCTAATCCGATTGAGAAAAGCGGGCTTTACATGTTCTCTGACCACATACTCCTAGGAAATTTTGCTAACGGTGGGGTGTCAATGATATAGTTCTTAGGTCTTTGTTAATGTCTTCCAAAGTTTAGTTTTTAGGTATAACTGTAACATTTTCACTTTTCCATACCTCGGAAGGCTTTTCTCAGTAACTGATGAGTTGATTAACATACATACTTGTTCTGCTAAAATATGTGCGAATTCCTTAAGAATCCAATTTGGTATATTATCAGGCGCACATGCTTTAGATATATTTACTGTACTAAGTTGTTTTTCTACAACACGAAGGGAGATTACAGGTTAGTCGACATTTATGGCATCAAGTCTTTTATATTGGAACAGGGGTATATAAGTTTCTTGGGGTTCCATAAAGGCATAGTTAATTTTATTTGCTAGGTTTTGTTTTGTTGCCTTTGAAGGGAAATATCCGGAAGTGGCGGGAAGCAGTTTCGACACAATCATCCGTTGCTGATTTAGACACTCCACACCGTCTCTTACACTCCGACTACCACTTTTTTGGCTCATTTCCCTTTATAGGTCTCTAAATTCTGTTTGTAATATTTAGATTTGCATCTTTTCTGCTTTCCCGATCAGCCATCCTTTTCCAATTTATGTGTCAGCGTAAAATAAATAAAGGTTTAAAGTCATCACCTACTTATATATGACTGTGAGCTAGAGAATACAAAAATCACGGATTGCGCTCATTTCTCTTGGGATCTAGCTACGAAATTAAATCGTTTTTTATACGTATTTACTGAAACAGATGTTAATATTAAAACCGAAGTCCTCACAATGTCATTCAGTTAACTTTGGGTCTTTAACACACATCACGTCTGTCATTGACAATTGACCTAAAGTCTCGAGACCAAACTACACGGGATTGTTCTTCAAACACGGCGTAACGGGGACTTGGAAAGCTATAGAAATCTCGTAGTTAAAGTTTGGGATAAATTACAAGTGTAACGTTACGGGATTCTCAGTGACATTCTCCGGAAGCAATGGTGAAATAATTAACCACAAAATATTTTAACAAAAATGAACAGGATGCTACTTTTATACACCTACCCTCAGATATGTGCTGGGAATCGTTGTATGACCAAAACTTCTTTTAAACCTCTTGAACTTCACAGGCTGATTGTTCAAAAGCATGCTATCCCTCAGCTAAAATAGCTTTTTAAATTTTATCCCGCGGGGTTAATTTATTGCGTTTTTCAAAACATATTTGTGCTAATCCACCTCACCAGGTGCAGTTAAGTTGCTAATCTGCCGGCTAACACTGATTTAACTAATCTAGTTTAGATTTTAAAGTTTTAACAGGTTTAGCTGACTAACTCTTGGACAAGGTTCCTCAGTTGTGGAAATATCAGGCCCGCAAATTTAATCATGCATCTGCTCTCTTCTTCATCATTAAACGATAATTAACATATTTTTCAGTCCAGGTTGATGAGCTTTGCAAGACGAATGCCATTGGTAAGTTTCGCTAAATACAATAGATACGTGACGAAAAAGGTCTGAAAGGAACCACTTTTTGCATAAACCTGGACAATGACATAGATAACCGAGGACTTGTATTGTACTTTTACTTAGTATCCAAACCATGTATATTCTATTAACTTCGGGCTAGGCTAGGCGTAGAAGAAGAATCTCCTCTATGTAAATATACGTCACATGTTACACTATTTTAAAAACCAACAAGTTGCGTGTTAGTGCACTAAACCTTATTTCTTTCTAGTTCTTTATTGTTCAACGTCTTTATTTCTTCTTTCCAAATTCACGTGGTCGTATCTTCATCGATGTTGATTTCAGAGAATAATGATGTCCTTTCCAATGCAACCAGTTGACTCCATCACTGGCTGATGTGTGTGCGCCATAATGATACAAACCATTCAAATTAGAGTCATGACAACTACGATACCACCAGGCTCCTTTGTATAACTTTGCACAGGATTGATCACAAATATCATTGTCAGAATCTTTGGTGCTAAAAGCCATACCGTTGTGATATGATAACGAGTCTCCCGCTGTACCTTAATGTAAAAATATGTGCAGGCATGACCTCTTAAAAATCAATAATGTTAATAGAACGAATAGAGTGCAATAATTATTAATGCCAAAATCGTACGAAAAAAGTTAAGGTGGTATTATACAAAAAACATTTTTTTCTTTTATTTTGAAAAGCAAGCCAATATTGGAAGCCAAGTTGCTCTGAGTGAAAAAAGACTTGTTAGATTCTTACTATAGTTGCCCATACCATACACACCCAATGGTGGAAGATGACGATTTTCGTCGCTAGAATGACGGAATTGGTCTTATTTAGTTATAAATATTTTCTCCTCGGAGCTGAACCTTGAATATAAATAAAACTTTGAAATTCCTAGTATTAAACGTTTTACAGGCAGTAAAAATAAAACTTTTACGATCTATCTAAATAAACAATCGTTATTTTACTTAGAGTTAAGGTGGCTCGATACAGTTAATTTCTAAAAACCCCATTGTTCATCACTTTGATACGTTCGCATTTTAACGATTTATTCTAGAGATATTGTGGTTCTTGTATATTTTGATGTCTCTACTTTTTAATCGTATTAGTTTTAATAACAGATCGTTCGTTGCTATGACGACATATTGGTACAAAGTTCACTCCAAAATGACCAATTGCGTCGGATAGTTGGAAAAAAGCACGGTGACCCCCAATTTTTTCGTGCGTTATTTTACTTGGAAGAAAAACTAGCAAAATATGAAAGTTCTATAATGTCTCATTTTTGAAAAATGCAAAAATGACATTTTTTTCGATAATTTTTTTGCCATTATAGATTTTTTATTTTTGACATGATGAGAGACATGTGTAGTACATTACAGCATGCAAAATACAGCATAGGTCACCGTACGAAATAATGAGATATAGCGCGATTTTTTGGCCCAAAATGGAATTTTTTAATGACGTGTGCAATTACACGTGCTGGGTCCGAAACACACATCACGTGAAACAAACACGCGTCGCGCATGTTGTTCTTATTGTTCTGATTCTGAGAGCAGCATTTATGTTTATGTTCCTCGCTGGTTTTGGCAGTGCGTTCGAAAATAAAACTACACAAATATCGTGAGGCCATTAATGTTTCCACACGCAAGAGCGCAACTAAATTTACTGTCTCGAGCTACCTTAACGAAATACAACACTTAGACAATACAAAGTCTAACATGAAAATTTTGCCAAGTTAGCTTTATTACTTTTTGAGATATTTTTTCCCAAAATAATGGGAATGAGAATTTTAGTTTGCTACAAAAAGATACGAAAAACGTTTTCCATGTATTCATAAATATTATAGAGAAAAATTAAATATAGAACAATGAAACAATAGAATAAGGCAATCCAACCCTTTTGTTTGCTCGGAGTAAAACACTAATTAGTAAAACTTTTCGTTTAGTTCGGGCGCTTTTTTGAGAAGAAATATTCAGGATCTATTAGGGAGACATTTAAGTTTCCATCCCCTGAAATTTTAAAAACAGAATTAATCGTGATTTTTTTGTATAAGACTATCTTAATATACTTTGCAGGAAACATATCGTGAATTTTACAATATTATAAATCGTATCAATTTAAAGATGTATAAAACTCTGAAAACATTTGTGAACAATTCTATACAGCTTAATGTTCCATTATATCGTCTGCAGTAGCCTCGAATTTAATAGTATTCTCTTGTAGCTATATACACGTTTGAATTATATTTCATTCCTTCAGTCTTTTTCATTTTACCGCCGGATTCCGCCGTTTATTTCAAAGCCGGCCTCGACTGTGCATTATCGAATGTCCCTGAAAATTTTGTTTGGGTTTTTTCCCGTAATTTTTAAAAGTTTTACAAACTCCAAAATTCGAAATATTTCACATTTCTGCGATTAATTTGCGAAATACCAACCTTGCCTCGTTTAAACTTTATAATTTATAAAATTAATTACATTTATGACTCAATAATAATTTTGCTCGATACAATATTTAATAATTATAGACTGCATTTATAGTTCACCGTAAGTGTAAAATGCTTACCATGATAACCTCCAACATTCAACTTGTACTTTGTATTTTCACTGCTGACTTTAAATGAATCATAATGAGCGTATGCAGTGTTTCCAGATGTATCTTCCATGTCGATTCGAAGTTCATTTTGTAAAATATTTGTCATCCTGTGTATTTTATCAAGACCAAGCCAATATTCTCCGATCAAGTTACCAAAACCTTGTTTGTAATCTTGCCATCCTCGGTAGAAGTCAACACTTCCATCAAGACGACGTTGAAATACAGTCCATCCTCCACCTGATGTTGTCATATCACAAAACACTTTGAAACTTCCTTTTCCGTCAGGGTCAATTTCATAAAGACCACTTTGTTTATTTCCCTTTTCATACAAATCAGCGCAGTGGAGGCCTAAAAATATGATTTTTCATCCCAATTTAGTGGCTTGTTGCTAATAAAAGGAATAATAATTTATTGTAAACAGGTTAAAAACCTCTTAAATTAATTTTGTTCCGTGGGAATGAAAATGAAATGGCTTTTAACTTTTCGTCTTTTCTCTAGGTTAATTTGAGCTATCAGATTTAGGAAAAAAAATTTTCTGTGAAACCATAAGAGGGTTTGTGGGGGATTAATTGTTTATACCCAAAATGCCCTTTTGTTTTTTAAACATAAATTAAAGCGATATGCCTCATCCAAAATAAGATATCCCATGTTGACAATGCCTTAGTAGTTATGCTATTTTTAGGTTGAAAATCCTAGCCTACATTTTCTTGTAAATGATATTTCTTGCTCAACTAGGTAACACTCCATTCGTAAATATCATTGGTACATTGACGAGTTCGTGTGTATCTTGCTTGTGTTTTCTTAAGATTACGTTTCGCAGTTTCCGTATTTTGTCATGCTCTGATATTGTCCACCCTTGAGACATGAGCTTTTGAATTTGCCTACTCAGTTACCAAATAAAATGGAACCTTCCCCACTGCTGTAAAACGGAAAAATTGAATGTCTACATTCTTCGGTGCCATCCTAAATTTGAGTTGCATATAAAAAATCGATTATAATAATCTTGCCTGAACATGTTTTCCCATTTCCAGCAAATCCTCTGGGACAGTGACATTCGTAGGAGCCAATAGTGTTATTGCAGTTTGCATTTAAGTGACATTTGTAAGTTCCCAAGGTACACTCGTCAATGTCTGAAATAAACGATAAAAAAGAGTTTCTAAACTATAATAACGGCTAAAAAATATATGGCTTATACAAGTATAACATGTTAATTGATTAATAATTGATTATTATTAAAATACTTGAATGGCAGTTCAAAAACGAACTGAAAAACACAAGTTTACAAGTATCAGAAAGGTAAGACTATATACATATTTACAGTGATAAAATACTCAGAAATACAATTACTAACATGATAATACCATAATTACAAAAAGACATACTAACGTTAGGTTCTAAAATATTAAAAGATTAAAATGAGTTCAAACATACATATAATGTAAAATAATTCATCTTGCCTGAACATGTTTTCCCATTTCCAGCAAATCCTCTGCGACAGTGACATTCGTAGGAGCCAATAGTGTTATTGCAGGTTGCATTTGAGTGACATTTGTGAGTTCCCAGGGAACACTCGTCAACGTCTGAAATCAACGATAAAGAGTTCATAAAGTATAATAACGCCTATAAAATATATGGCTTATATACAAATATAACATGTTAATACATATAATGTAAAATAATTAATCTTGCCTAAACATGTTTTCCCATCTCTCAAAAATCCTCTGCGACAGTGACATTCGTAGGAGCCAATAGTGTTATTGCAGGTGGCGTTAGGGTGACATTTGTGAGTTCCCAGGGAACACTCGTCAACGTCTGAAATAAACGATGTTGTCAGGAGCTTAGTCGAACACCATGCACTTACATTGTTTAATATATCTTCATGCTTTGCATTGCATTAATAAGAAATTATCCATCAAAAGAATGCTGGTACACTCGACTTCATAAGAGAGAACAATGTCGTACCAGATACCTTACAGCTAGAGCTGCTTATATCGATGAGTTTGTCTACCTGGTTCGAACCCCTAGCTATATAAAAAAGTTGATTAAAATATTCTTGCCAGAACATGTTTTCCCATTTCCAGAAAATCCTCCGTGACAGCGACATTCGTAGGAGCCAATAGTGTTATTGCAGGTGGCGTTTGACTGACATTTGTAAGTTTTCAAGGTACACTCGTCAATGTCTGAAATCAACGATAAAAAAGAGTCTCTAAACTATAATAACGCCTATAAAATATATGGCTTATACTTAAGAATTAAAAAACGAGTCGCGTGCCTTTATGGTGTAATAATGCACGATGGGGGAATGTTGGGAGAATACGAGAGAAGCTTGTAAAACACGAGGCGTAGCCGAGTGTTTTACAAGCTTCTCGAGTATTCTTCCAACATTTCCCCGAGTGCATTATTACACCATAAAGGCACGCGACGAGCTTTTTTAATTCTTTTATAATATAAGAAGAAATTATAGGGCAACAACAAAATTTATTTATTTGATCAATAATGAAATTCTCCTCACATGTTTTTTAAGATGTTGCTTAGCAACAAAAATTTCAAAAGCCAGAAGCGTGCATTATGGCCTCACAATGCACGCGCGGTAACCAATCAAATTGCTCGTTATATCATACTTATATTATAAAAGTATATAACATGGTAATACATGATAAGGTAAAAAAAATAATCTTGCCTGAACATGTTTTCCCATTTCCAGCAAATCCTCTGCGACAGTGACATTCGTAGGAGCCAATAGTGTTATTGCAGGTTGCATTTGAGTGACATTTGTGAGTTCCCAGGGAACACTCGTCAACGTCTGAAATCAACGATAAAGAGTTCATAAACTATAATAACGCCTATAAAATATATATACAAGTATAACATGTTAATACATATAATGTAAAATAATTAATCTTGCCTGAACATGTTTTCCCATTTCCTAAAAATCCTCTGCGACAGTGACATTCGTAGGAGCCAATAGTGTTATTGCAGGTTGCGTTTGAGTGACATTTGTGAGTTCCCAGGGAACACTCGTCAACATCTGAAATAAACGATCTTGTTAGGAACCTATATAATGTGTGTAGCATTTCTACTCAAAATAAGGACCCGGAAAAATTCTGCTTCATTGAGTAAAGTGCACAAAGTCTTAATTCAGTGATTTATTCTCACCTACTCGCAGGAATTACCTTGCAAAATCCACACTAACTGCGCTCGTTTCGAGTTATCTCTGTAGCTCGTGCAGAAGCATTGCACCGGGGTCGCAAGGCGTAGGTTCGATTCCTGCTTGAGGACCGATATCTGAAACACTTTCCTCAATTCATTCTGCCTTTAGTTTAGTTTTTCACGAATCCCACTCGAAATTTTCATTAATACGATCTCTCAGGCATGAAAAGATTTTATTCATCATATTTTTTTGAAATTAGACTACTGATCTCACAAATTTTTTAATCAGCTCCTTCGGGCTCGATCAAAATGTCTACTTCACGAGCAAATGGTTCATTTTTGGTAAGGGTTAGGGTCCCAATCCCAATCAAAATTCACTAAAAGAGGTCCCGAGGTTCATTGGTTACGTATTGCATTATTGTAGCGCATATTGACATGTAATTTAAAACATTTCTCATTGCATATATAGTTGTTATAAGTTAATTTAGTTAATCTCAAAATTCACGCAGTTTTGTCCCGAATGATATTCCGAATGTTCCAAAATTTATAATTGCGTTATTTGTGATAATTCTAAAGCAAATTACCTGATTTCCTCCTGGAAAGCTTTTCTTTTTCAACTCTATTCTTTACCTATACAAAATTAATTACAACAATACTAAAGTTAATAAAATATTGATTTTATTCTTTATATACATTAACTAATATATCACAACAATAATTTCTTCATTCTTTATAATTTATAATATCTTCATTTCTTCAATGTTCATTTTTGTCGGTATAGATAAACCGATAAGATACCGTATATTTCTCATTTCTTAAGAGAGAACGAGGTTGTATTTTGGCACGTATGCAGAGTGATCCAAAGATCGCAGATATGGAGAAAATATTTTCTTACAGTTCAATATTAACCAGTTTTCTCGTGAAATCAGAATTGAAAGTTCATACCTTGCTTACAATTATACGGATTTCTGAAATTCGTACATCGACTTGTAGTACGGATGCTTGAAATTTCTTCGGACTTCGGAACATATTTTTAAGTTCTTCAAACAAAATGGTAAACAAATTTCGAACAACACCTTTGTTAAATACCGAAACTGGAGAAAAACAACCCTAATTGCTTCGTGTCAAATCAACGGAGGTCCAGTGACGATTTCTTATTTATATCGTTTATATTTTGCCATGTTTAGCATCGGTATAAACAAGCGTGTTTGAAATTATTGTGGTTTGCAGTATAAAAATCGTTAAATATCACTGACTTTGTCATTTATCAATCTTACCGCTTCAACATCTTGCATCAATATCCAATCTCCCGTTTTCCTTTCTTCTTTCTTTCTAGTAACGTTTGTCAGTTGGCAATTTTCAACATTTTTTGTTGTTCTGTAGTTGAATCCAACACATTTGTCTTCGTCTTTGCAGTGAGTGTGACATCCTAACATGACAACTGAAGATGTAACATTGTGTCTTGATATTATTTCATCCGCAGGCAATGATGGACCTCCTAAAATTTTTGAAAAAAATCTTGAAAGTCAAATTAATGTCCAAATTTCAAATAAAATTATGTGTTTTATGTGGGAATGCATGATTTCACCATATGAAATATTTAAATGGTGTTTCACGACAATATTTTTTATCTTACTTTTTTCGACAATACTCACCTCTTATGATTGTGTCGTAATTCGTCGGGGAACATTGGTTTGCTGAAATGTTTCCAATAGCAAGCAACAGCAAGCTCAAGCTGGCCGCTACAAACATTGTTTAAATCCTCTCTTGTCTGACTCGGTAATTCTGGAAGATATTTCTCGCAGTTATATGACCAAAAAAAGACGAATAGGAAATGATTATGATGTTGCCTGTGTTTCGTAAAAATTTGAAAATTCAATTAAGTTGCTTTAGCCACGTAATCCACTTACACGCGCTTCAATTGGATGCATTTTAGCCTATGACAGTTATGACAAAGATATCATGTTATCTTCAACACTTTATTTTGAACGTTTCCTTACAATATACGGCAAAAAAGGAATTATTGGCATACCCATAAAGAATTTATTGCTTCCTGCACTTGAGACTTTATAATAAAGTAGATTAAATACTTTAGTTTGACGCGCAGGTAATTTCCCTGGAATTCTGATGACATATAGGTAACGCGTGGAAAAGCGGAGATGAGGGTCAGTATAGATAAAGAGCAGAATGTGCTGCCAATTCATTCTGCTCCTCGCTTCAACAAGGTCATTACAGATCGAATTTTAACCCGCCCTCCTCCCCGTTTTCTCACGCGAGCTTAATGTAAAGGTATATTAGTATATTCGGTAGGGCGTTTAAATTAGCCCCACCTTTTCTGTGCAAATTGTTTAGTAATTGAATTTATTGTTTGTTGATTAATAATTAATTTGTTGTTAAGTAAAAATTAATAAATCGGCATGTGCGTTAGACAATTACGCACATTGCCAAAATTATTCCAACTCTGTGTCTGAGTTGTTTTTGTACGAGATCTAGAACACAGAAAACAGAGCTCGTCATGACAAGGTATCTTTTAGGTATGAAGCTAATGAAGGGAAGCGATAAAAAATAATTTCATTTATTTCACTTGTTTCAAAAAATTCTGTATCAACGTCAATAAAATATTTTAAAGTTTTACACTGACATGTTTTGTGGCCAAGCTAAAGATCATAAAAGATGTGTGTTGATGTTATATAATATTGAACAAAAGCACACCATACCACATAATATATTTAACCGACGCTGCAATAGCCAGATTTTTTTGGATGTCAATTTAGCCAAGACGGAGATTAATTGTGCGACATCATTGAGCCAAACTTGTGACTGACATTCACAGTATTGAAGTTTGCTTAATTGATACAGTTTGTTTATTTTCTCCAATGCCGGTGCTAGGCAACTTAGGACTCTTATTTCACACACTAAATTTTTAAATGGCTTGAAAAAACTAAGAAGAATGTTCAATGCGTCATCTAAAATAGCTTGAATTTCAAGGGATTGTCACGTTCAAGCCCATAGACTCAGCGTAAAGTTATTGTAATCATAGATCAGTCGAATCGTATACTGTTCAATTAACGTGTGCGGTTGGTCAGGTTGATGTCTTAAGCCCCGTTTACACTAGGTGCTTTGACCAGGCCTAGATGTGAACGTTGTTTATCCAACCTAGACCATGCAGCCTGGACCTGGTCTACCACAAAATCCAGGCCAACAGCAGAAGGTGGCGTGGACCTGACCTGGACTTGACATGGGGCAATATTTTGATAATGTGAACAGGCTTTACCTAGTCCTAACAAATTTTGAACTTAATAGTATAATTTGCAAAGGATACATATAGTATTACCACTTTTCGGCGTGTTTTTGCTCTTATTCCAAGTATTTTGTCAAATACTTTGGCTATCCGATATCATCAACAAGGAAGACAGTGTAAACGGGGCACATATTACCTAGACTTGACCTATAGACCTGGTCCAGGGCAGGTCTAGGTCTGAAGTGTAAACACGGCTTTAGAGGCTAGCTACCTCTTTCATGGTATGTAGCGTGAATATGACATCATGGGAGTCCCAATTGGGAGAATGTAAACCCCAGGAAAACGATTTAACGGCCATTTAAGAACGAGTCTTGGGGATGAGAGATTCACCACAAGGAATTACATCTTATAGGAGTGCTTCCCCCAAACCCCTTCTCCCACAAAAAGCACGCGTGTATGGATGTATTGTTTTACGCAGAAAACCCGCTTGTTAGCAATCATCAGAACGGCTTCGATCATTAAGGGCATCTATATAACCTACAAACACCCAAATGAACACAAATTTTGGTCACATTTTGCGAAACAAAGTAAGTGGGAATAAAGTTTAATATATATTATTTAAAATGACTTACCACAGATCTGGTTATAAGATATATTGGAAATTATTTCAGGACTTTGAACAGTTGGTTTGCCTAGAACAGCAGCAAAATACTGATATGCATGCGAGCAAATAAATTATTTTTATTCTTATTATAAACACTCAACAGCAAATCAATTATTTAAGTGCAACTGTCGAGAATTGACATGGACTTTGCACTATAATATTTATAATATTATATAGCAACCCACTATAACGCACTTGATTGGCTGACACTTAATTAAACCAACAGTTCAAATTACACTTGCACGCATCTTCAGTTAATAACATTTGTATATAACTAATTCTTCTTTACTCAGCGACACACAATTATATAAAATGATAAAATAACAAAAATGACGTTGTTGCATTGATCGTCCAATTTGTATCCCGCTAATTCCAACCTCCGCTAAAGTTTTCTGCAATCGTCGTAGACACAACGCAGCAAACGAAGAATATTGAGGTATTAAGACGATCGAGACATCAACGTCTCTTATTTGACAGTTTATGAACAGTCATATAGCGCCGAGCATTAAACATAATGCGGTTAGGGAGAATGTTGTCTCTAAAGCAAAGTTTCAAACGGATAGTTCTTACAGTTTATAAATCAACGTGCATAGATACGCTCTATATACTAAAATGCATAATCCACCTTTCCATAGATCACTCTGAAAATATCAATGACATTCATCACAGAATAGCAACAATAAAAGGTTTGACTTTAGAAACTTCATAGTTTCCCCCGAGAAACGTGAACATATCACGCGTGAAAAAAAATCGAGTTCGTAGTAATCTTGCATTCAGTTTTCAATAATAACTTGTTTGGTTTTGAGTTAATTAAAAAAGCGAAAAAAGTAGTTAAATAAAACTAATTAGTTACATAAGTTACTGCATGTTAAAAAGTGCTTGCCGCTTTATTTTAACTTCGACTTGAGATTAACTGGCGCGAATAGCTTTTTTTACCGGACATCGTTTTCCGTTAAGGTAAACGTTAAGCCGGTTTTCCACTAGCGATAATTTTCGCGCGAAGCGACTTTATTCCTTTGTATTTGAGCAATTTGTTCCAGATGGTTGCAGTTGAGAGCTCTGGAAGAAAAGAAAGATGTCGCTTCGCGCGAAAAATATCGCTAGAGGAAAACCGGCTTTAAAGTCTGCATAACTGAATATTATAAATACGTCTAATGTTGAGAAAGGGAAATTTAAATCAGCGCTAAAACAAGTCCAAGAGCTGTAAACTTTAAAACAAATCATTTTCAAAATCAACTCTAAACAGCATTTTTTGATTGGGTAAAAAGTAATATTCCTGGTGCAATCTTTTGTTAATTGAAACTGAATGTTATAGCTGTCCCCGATAATGTAGAAAATGTCCTTTGATTAAGTTAGTAACAAATTATGTTGTCCACAAAATCTCCGTTGTTATGGCAACAATTGCTGATTAATAGTCTCATATAATTTATATGGTCAAACGTTTAGACTGTATAAGCTCGCATTCAAATATACATTGCAAGCAAATCCACAAAAAGTGGATTTTCGACGATATATCTTATAATATTTTCTATCTGCTCGCACGAAATTAATAAAATATTAATTGTTTGGTTCTTTGCCCTCGTGTGTTTACATTTCGAGTTATTTTCATCACTGTAACTGCGTGAAAATTTAAACTGTATAAGTCGCCATTCAATGCGATGCATTTTTTTAGCCTTTGACAGTTTTGTCAAAGTTGAGTTATCTTCAACACTTTATATTGAATGTTTCCTTACAATATACGGCAATAAAAAATAATTTCACTTATTTCATTTGTTCCAAGTACTGTATGTGAATAAATATTGAAACTCTAACACTGGCAGCTGCTCATAAATATTACTGTTCCTTTTTAGCAAAAAATCTGTTCATGCAAAGCTGTGTGTTAATGTATATATTATTTTAAATATTTTATTTTATCAAGTCATAATACATACGTTGATAAAAATAATACTCGTTTTATTTTATGGCTAGAAATACATGAAATGCAGCACCCCTCGCCATTTTCAACTATGAAAACAATCTCCTTCTCCTGGGACTGGATTAGCTATAACTATAAGTTTTTATTATGGAATGACTCAATGGGAAAGCGTCGATGGCCAATTTTTTCATCATTTCGTACAAAATATAGTCACAACATTGAAGGTGATGTCACCCGTTTCCTACAGGCGTTTATATACAGGCGTTCAAAACAATACAAAATCTTCAAGTATAGACAGTCAGACACAGGCAGCTCAGACTTACATGCATCGTCTATATTATAACGACAAGGGGGGAAAGAGTTTATTAAAACATTGCAGTTATAGTTTCGTAAATGTAAAAATTAATTATCCGCGAAATTACCTGAAGAAATGCCACAAAATCTACAGCGTAATAATCACCGATTTTTGCCCAACATTAGCCTGGAGTTCCATGTTTTTAAACATCATCGAAAGACATCAAATTAGCGAAATAAAACAGGAATTCATACGAAATTTTGAGAAAACAATCCGCGGGTCACTTCGCCTAAGGAAACCTTATCTTTTTTAAAATATTAGCTAAACGCTTATCAGCGGTTGTGCGGGTCGTGCCTCTTTCATGGTATGTAGCGTGTGCACATGACATCATGGGAGTCCTAATTGGGAGAATATAAACCCCAGGACAACGATTTAACGGCCATTTAAGAACGAGTCTTTGGGATGAGAGATTGACCACAAGGAGTTACATCCTCTATGAGTCATGCTTCCCCCAAACCCCCTCGCCCACAATAAGCGCGCGTGTGTATGTGTATTGTTTTGCGCAGAAAACCCGCTTGCTATTAATCATCAGAACGGCTTCGATCTTTAAGGGCATCTATAACCTAGAAACACCCAAATGAACATAAAATTTTGGACACATTTTGCGAAACAAAGTGCACTAGTGGGAATAAATTTTAATGTTTAAAATGACTTACCACAACTCTGGTTATAAGATATATTGGAAATTATTTCAGGACTTTGAACAGTTGGTTTGCTTAGAACAGCAGCAAAATACTGATATGCGTGCTAGCAAATAAATTATTCTTATTCTTATTATAAACACTCAACAGCAAATAAATTATTCAAGTGCAAGCTGCATAATAAGTATCAACATCTCTTATTTGGCAGTTTATGAATAGTCGTATAGCGCCGAGCATTAAATATAATGCGGTTAGGGAGAATGTTGTCTCTAAAGCAAAGTTCTCAAACGAATAGTTCTTACGGTTTATAAATCAACGAGGATACGCTCTATTATACTAAAATGAATAATCTACCTTTCCATAGATCACTCTGAAAATTTCAAAGAAAAATTGATCATAGAATAGCAGCAATGAATAGTTTGACCTCAGAATCGTCATAGTTTCCCCCGAGAAACGTGTACATGTCACAAGTGAAAAAAAAATCGAATTCGTAGTAATCATGCATTCAGTTTTCGATAATTACTTGTTTGGTTTTAAGTT